TTTAACATATAATCTACTTTTTGGGATATTTCTACTGTATAATTGGAGGTGAATTAATGATTTTCTTATTTGTTTATCTATCTTCTCCAATTCTCCTAGTTTCCATGTGACAATACTAAATCCATATCTTAATTTGGAGATTATATCACTATTAATCTTTCTTATTGTATTGAGGCTGCTGTATTTCATAGTATTTAATGATGATAGAATAGAAGATATATCATTTAATATCATTGTACAGTATTTGTTGATATTTACTTTATCTCCTATTTCAATACCAAGATATTTATAAGGGTTATCATTAGTTACTCTTGGTAGTTCAGCTAATTCTCCATTTATTTGACTATTAATATTAGTCATTATCCCACTCTTTTCTACATTAATTTTTAATCGTATTGCATTAAATATTTCTTTAGTTAATTTGTGTGCTTTTTCCATTTCATCGAGGCTATTAGTCATTATCTTTAAATCATCCATATATAATATGTGGTTTAACTGGACTTGTTTTTCTTCTCCATTCATTTTAATATTTAATTTGCTTATTTGTTTATCTAATTGTTTAGATAGTATGTCAATAGATAATACAAATAAAAGTGGAGATAGGCTGTCACCTTGTATTATTCCTCTTTCTACATTAAACATACCCACACTTTCTTGATTGTAATATAAATTAAGATATGTATTATTTAATATATAATATACTATTAATTACTACTAGTGGGATATTAAAATATATTAAGCATTGTTTAATCCATTGGTGGTTAATACTATCATATGCTTTAGAAATATCATAATATGTTTCTACCCACTTCCATTTAGCCTTTATTAATAATTGCTGGATTATAGTGTTGTATAATAATCCTTCTTTTGATGATATGTGTATTTCTTACATCCAATTTGATTTAATGAAAGTTGTTTTTCAATTGGATTTAGCATCAGCTGGCTTTCTATTTTCATCTTTAATATTGATGTATATATACTTTTAACAGACAATTTAAGCACGTTATTGGTCTGTAATTCTGTTGGTCTAATTTATCTCATTTCTTATATATTAATATTGTTCTTCCTTGAATGAAATGAATATGTATTTCATTAGGATTGTTTAACCATTCATTAAATAATTTTATTAAATATTTCTTTGGTTGTTCTAAATATTTAATCCAAAATCCTTGTATTTTATCAACTCCTGGTGTCTTCCAGTTAGCAGTAAATTTAATATCACAATCTAATTCATTGGGAGTGATTATACATATTCTATTATTAATTCTATTTTCATTTAATATTTCATATAAATTAATATTTAGATAAAATCTATATTAGTGTTAGTTTCATAGATTCCTTTCCAGAAATTAATAGTGGAGATATTATCTGGATATTCATCTTCTTTAGATTTATTTAGATGTTGCCTTTTTCCATATTTCATCATTTTATAATTCCATCTTATTCTTTTCCAATTATTCTTTCTTGCTTCTATTTCTATTCTTTTCATCTTTCGGAGGTATTTATAATAGTTTATTTGTTTATTTGTTTTTATTTTAATATGATATATATCATATTTCTTAATATGTAATATTCTTTTTAATTTCATATATTGTTTATTATGGAGTAAATCTCTTAATCTACATATTTTTGATTGTAATATTCTTTCTATACTTTTCTTTCCACTTCTTTCTTGTTTATTTTTATTAATGATGTTAATAGTGGAAGATACTGATTTAATATAATGGTAGTAATAATCTAATGTATTGATTATTATTTCATTTTTATTAATAATATTAATTATTTGATGTATTTTCTTCTTATTGTAATAATAGTTAATAAATTGTACATCTTCTTGTTCTTTCCTTTCTTCTTCTTTAAATACTTTCATTACCTCCTCTTCTTCTATTTCTTCTTTCTTGTTCACTTTTGATATTAATTCTTTTAATTCATTATCTTTCCATTGGTGTTTTATTATTTCTTCCTCCATTATTCTATTGATTTCTCTTTTAATTTCATTCTTTATTTTAAATGTCTTCTTTAATATTTCTTTATATTCATTAATATCATTAACTTTAATTTCAAATTCCTGTATTAATCTTTCTATTATTTCTTCTTTAAGTTGACCTCTTAATTTTCTTTCAAATAATTTTAGAGCAAAACATTTATATTGTGTTAAAATTTCTTCTTTTCTATCTGTTTGCTTCTCCCGTTTTTTTGATTGTCTAATTCAAATGTGGTGATCTTCTTATGCTGAATATCCATTTCTTCAATGGATTTCTGCGTTAACTTTCTTTTTTTTTTTGGAAGATCATCTTCACTTGATGATATCTCATCAGCTACTACCACATTGGGGGTGAGGTCATTCACAATCTGTGTTTCTTATGATTCTGTTATATTGTAAGTTACCTCATCTTTCTTCTTTTCTTCTTGTGTATTTTTATTTTCTAATTTAGATACTTTATCTTTCAGAAAGAGCAATTGTTGTGTTAAATTGTTTACTTCAAACATTTTTCTTTCAGATTCAGTATGGAATTTGAATATTTTTTATCACACTCGTGGTTTTTTGTGTTTATCTCCTTCTCATGCTTCCTCTTTAATGCCATAATATCTTTTGTTAATTTATTAATGGTTTATTCTTTTATTTGTTTTTCCTTTTTCATTTCTTCTTTCTCTTTCATATCCTCCTCCACTTTCTTTTCTATTTCTTCTACTCTTTTTTTCTTTTTACTGTTTTCTTCTTCCTTTTCTACCAGCCTCTTCTTCTCTCCTTTAGTGATCTTCTTCTCCTCAGCAAGCCTCTTCTCCTCTTCTTCTACTAGCCTCTTCTCCTCTTCTTCTACTAGCCTCTTCTCCTCTTCTTCTAGCCTCTTCTTCTCCTCAGCAAGCATCTTCTCCTCTTCTACCAGCTTCTTCTTCTCCTCAGCAAGCCTAGCTTCTACTCTCGTAGAATCTTTATCATCGTCTTCTTCACTTTCAATACTCATTACATAGTTATTGTATATTCTATTGTCTTTAATCTCATTTGGGTTGTATTGATAAAATATTTCTCTAATAAATAAACTTAATAAAAAAAAACTATATTATTTTTCTTTACTGTAAATAGAATTTACTTTGATAAAAGTATCTTTTTAACTTTTTGTAGAAAAATAAATATTGGAATGAATTGAAAACAATTCTAACTTCTGTGTTGAGTTACTAATGTTATCAAATCTCACAAATTGAATTTTTTTTAATAGAATCAATTTAATAATGGCTTAAATCATTTTTTAAGAGTTTTGATTAAACCATTAGTGCTTAGAAAAAAACAATATTTAAAAAAACTCTTTTTTAAACCAGATGGAAAAAATAAATAAAAACAATACTCATTTTTGAAGAAAATAACAAGTAATAATAACTAAGAGTCTTCTACAACGAACTTAAAAATTGATTAAAGATGATACCAATTAATAAAGGAATTTATCTCTATGAATTTCAAAAAATTAATATCCCTTTACCAACACATTCCTTTTTGATTTCAGAGAATGAAAAAGGTTATTGTAATGTTTGTGGTAAATATTGTGAAAAAGATGAAACCGTATTATGTCAGAAATGTGGTATAATAGTACATTATAATTGTTCAGAACATGCATATTCTTATTGTCTAACCAAATTATCGTATCTCAATGGTTATACGTTAAGCTTAGAAGAGTATCTTGCTGCTTCATATACATCTCATCAACCTCATTTAGTTATAGAATCAACAACGCATCCCTTTATTTGTCAGTCTTGTAATAGTGAAATTAAAGGGAAGTGTTATAGGTGTTTATGTTGTGCTTCAGTATTTCATATTGATTGTAAACCATTAAGAGATTGTAAATTATGTCGTACATCTGATCCTCTTCAACACCATATGCTTCATGGAGCAGATAAGTTTTGTTTTGTATGTAGAGAGCCAATAGAAAGAAAAGCTGGATTTCATTGTTGTTGGTGTTCGGTAAATGTTCATGCCAAATGCTTATCGCTATTACCATCACATTGTTCTTATGGTAAATTTGCTTCTGTATTAACTAAACCTCATATAGAATCAAATCTTCTTGTTGTAGATTGTGTAAATAAATCAAACGAATTTTATTGGTCATTATTGCACTTAAATCCACGACAATTGGTTTATTCTATAAAAGACTACAAATCCCAAATCATTGTTTATTGTCAAAATCTTCAAAACTTTAATTCTAAATTATCTTTATTTACAAATGAAAATAAGATTATTGTTACTAATGGTGATTTAGCTCAAACCTTTGGTTGGAATATCCCTTTTAAAGATGTAATACAAAACATAACCCATTCAGTAGAAATTAATTGTGACATATGGAATATCAGTCATCTTAACAAAGAGTTTTGTTGTTATTGTGGTATAGGAATTGACGCATACCAATTAAGAACAAAAGAAAATGAATTAATTAACATTATGTTAGAGAAACATGTTCATGTGTTTCTCGGTGATAAACAACTTAACTTAAAAGGATTATGTGGAATTATTTTTATGAACATACCATTCTATCAAAGCACTAAATTTATTGACCAATTAGATGCAACACCAAATGACCGATTAATAGAAATTATTGGCTTCACTTCTGCTAATCATTTTGCTGTTTGTAAATCTGGTTGTTTAATGCCAAAGCATATTGGAACTTCAAGAATTATCAAAGTTGTTGTCTTTGAAGAAATTGATTTTGAAGTTGATGGATGTCTTTTAAAGTTATCTCGTGGAGTTTATGTGATTCAATCTTTCCGCCAATTAACATTCCTTGCTTATAAAAAACGTTAATAACAAAAAAAAAATTCTCCATGTTTTATATAAAATAATTGTTTTATCTAATAATTTCTTTTTTAGAACAATCATAAATTTTGATATATATTACAACAATTAAATACTATAATTTAATAAAATAAAAATTAATAAATTAATAAATGAAAGAAAGAAGAAAAAAAGAATAAAAATTTCAAAGAATATAAATTCTTATTCACTAAAACAATAGATGTTACTATTCCTCTTATTGCTTGTTTGTGTGTTTGCTGACAAATATTATGTTGTTGATGAAATACAATCATTCACTTATTTCCCCATCAATACATGCACATATTATAATGAAAGATATTATGAATATTTGTTTAATGAATCAACATTGGTACTATCCATTGGTACTTATACCGATAAGTCATGCACTATCAAAATAGAAAACAAACACAAAATAATTGAAGCAAATCAAATCACTGAATCATTTAACAATTCCCTTCAATACATTCACATCCCTTCATCCGAATGTACAAATGATTTTAAATTAGAAAGAATGACAGGATATACAGTGACTGTATTTAAGAATTATTGTGTTGAAAATGGAACAGAAGGAACAATTGTATCAACACTTCTTATAGATAACACTAACACATATGTTGGATTTGCACATGAAATGAATAATAACAAAGAGTGTGAAACATACACTGAATACAATATAATATCAGAAGTTGGATGTGATAGAAAACATAATAGATATTACGTCAATACAACTATCTGTTCAGAAGGAGAAATGTTTAATGGAGAAAAATGTATTTGTAATTCATATGAAAATTACCAATTAGAAGAAGAAGAATGTGTATTAAAAGTCGAAGAAGATAAAGTAAAAGCAAGTCAATTAGTTCCAGCATTAATAGTAGTGATAGTTTCTGGATTAATATTTATTGGACTTGTTGTTTTTGCAACAATAAAAAAGATTCTTCACAGAAATGAGTAATAAATTTTAATTTAAGATTTTTATTTTTTAATTTCAAAGACAAAAACTCAATTGTAAACATTTGTGATGTCAATTACAGATGAGGCATGGGGGAAGTTAAAAAGCACAAAACCTCAACAACCTTCTTTATCATTATTTCTTGATAAAACAAATGTTGGGAGAAATAAATCACTTGGATTAAAGTGTGAGAAGATAAGTTCACATCATTTTACCATCCTTACTAAAAAAGTTAATGATACTCGAATTACCACTATTATTGATAATTCAAGAAATGGGACATGGTTAAATGGAATTCAACTTGAAAAAGGTGTTGAAACAGTTATTAATATGTTTGATGAAATATCTGTATTAAATCCTGAATTAAAAGAGAGTGCTCAATATCTTTATTTTGAAATGGGAGTTATAAATCAGTTATCAGAATATTCCAATAATTTTTTTAAAAGATATGTAATACAAGAACTAATTGGGAGAGGGTCATTTGGACAAGTACGTAAGGCATTTGACATGACATCAAAAGAAATTAGAGCTATAAAAATAATGAAAAATAAACCAAATAAGAAATACAAAGAAAATGAGATTGTACAATCTCTTCATCACCAGAACATTGTTACTACATATGAAAGTTATCAAATTGGAGAATATATTATTATTGTAATGGAATATTTACCAGGTGGATCACTTCAATCAATATTAAAAAGATGTGGAAAAATAGATATTCAAGTATTAAAAAAAATTTCTTTACAACTACTTAATGCCTTACAATACCTTCATTCTAATAAAATTGTACATAGAGACGTTAAACCAGAAAATGTACTATTTAGTGGAACTAAATCAGAAATTAAAATAACTGATTTTGGAACAGCAAGAATTGTAGGAGAAGGTGAAATGGCAAAGACATTATGTGGAACACCAACATATTTTTCACCTGAATTATTTAAAGGATGGAATGAATATAAAAAGCTATCAATAAATAATGAATTACCTAAAGAAAAAAAGAATTTTTTATCGAAAGAACTTCAATACGATGCATTTAAAGTTGATGTTTGGAGTTGTGGTGTATTGATGTATACATTAGCAGTTGGAAGAAATCCATTTGAGTTTAATGGACATTTTGAGCAAAAGAAATTATTTAATGGAAGTTTCAATACAGACGAATTATTTTCATGCTTACCAGATGAATTAAAAGACTTAATTGAACATATGATAGTAATAGATCCATTAAAAAGGTATTCTGTCAAAGAATGTTTATCACATGAATTTTTTACAAGAAAATCAAAAACAACACAATTTGAATTACCAAAGAAAAAAAAAGAAATAACAAAAGATATTTTAAAGTATTTTTAAAAGTTTTTTTTTTAAAAAAAAGATAAAACTCATATTTTTTTACAATTAACTAACCTCAATAATATAAAATTACTTTAATAACACTCCGTTTTTATTTTTTTTTAAGTAAAAAGTAACAAAATATATGAAAATTCATTAAAAACAATAGTCGATTATTTATTAATTTATTTCAAAATAATATTATTTCTACAATTTTCACATTCACTGAGAATATCTGCAATTTGATCATTTTCTTTTTGTAGTTCACTAGTTTTACGTTTCATCAAAGCAATTTCTTTTTCCATAGTGAGAATTTCTTCTTTCTTTTTAATACGACATTTCCGTAAACTTTCTTGAGCTTTGATTTTTCTCTCTACACCTTTTAATATATTCCTTTCTTCTTCAGTTAATTGTCTAAATTGTTTAATTTTTCGTTGGTACTCATTAAATTCATCTCTATGCATCGTTTTTAGAATATTTATTTCCAAAAGATTGTGTAAATTAGTTTTAATCGGTTTACCATTACATACTATAATAGAATTTCCAGATTTTTCTTCTCCCTGATGTATGTTGAATGGATTATATGCACTGTCCATTGCAATTTCTAAGTGTAACCAGGTAGTTCTTTCCTTTTTGTTTGAATTTCATGGCGTCATATAGTTAAGAATATAAAGAATATTCTATTTATTCTTTTTCTTCTATTAATTTCTAGTTTTACTGATGACGCAACGAAAAAAATTTTATTTATGTTTTAGATAAAAACAATTTTTATTTTAAAAAATGTTATTTATATCATATTTTACAAAAATACACAAAATTCAGAAAATATTGAAAAACAAAAAAGTTAAATCATAGAAATATTTATAGAAGAATTAAAAAAGAGAATAAGAAAGTGAGAATAAAAAGAACGTCTGGACAAAAAAAAAGAAAACTAGAGAAGTTAACAAATGGACCAAAAGTATTTGTGAACACGTAAAATACTTCATTAAACTCTATTTAATAATAAATTTCAATCTTTAAATCCATTCAATTAATCATCATTATGGCTGTACTTCATATTAACGCTCTTGATCAATTAACTGCTCTTCTTTCTACTGAAAAAGTTATTGTTATTGATTTCTTTGCTACATGGTGTGGTCCTTGTAGATCTATTAGTCCATATTTTGAAGAACTTGCTGGTCAATACAATAACATTAAATTTGTTAAAGTTGATGTAGACCAAGCTGAAGAAATTTGTGTTAATTATAAAGTTAGATCAATGCCAACATTTGTTCTTGTTAAAGATGGAATAGAACAAAAACGTTTCAGTGGAGCAGATAGAAATGCCTTAAAACAAATGGTTGAAACAGCATAATCAAATTTTCAATTAGTTAATTTAAAAATTTATTATATTTTCTTTTTCTTTAATTAAAAAACAATATTTAATTATAATTTAAAAATAATTTTACAATTTAATATTATAATTAATTATAAAATTACTATATTTATTTTATTAATTAAATTCTTTTTTATTTATTGAAACTAATGAATTTAAAAATAAGAAATTTCTTATTATTATTATATTTATTTAACCCAAAATAAATATTTTTTATTTAAATATAACAAATTAATTTAATTAAAATTTTCAATTAATTTTATTAAAGAAAATAAAGGTAATAACAATTTAAAATTAATTAAAGCATTAAATAACATTATTAAACTATTAAATATTCTAGTTAATAATATAAATATCAGTTTATTCTTTTAAAGAAATAATCATTTGAAACATTAATATTGTTTTAAACTACTTATTCTTTTTTGATATTATTTAGTGTAAATTCAATGTTAATGAATCAATGAAAATTTATTATTCACCAAATAAAATAAAATCACTTTTTGGTAAATACTTCTTTACAATATTAAACTTATTATTTAAAATAATATTTTGTAATTTCTACATCTCTTTTTATTGAATAAATTTAAAATATTCATTTTGTTTCGATTAATACCTTTATTTAATTTTGGAATTTACAATTAAAATCAAATTTAAAGAATGAGAATAAAGTTCTAGAGAATACCTTTTTCATTTTAGTCATTTAAAATTAATTCTAGTGAAAGTGCTAACTCTATTTTACATTGATATTAAATTAATTAAAGTTATTATTGTATTTAAGATTATTGTTTTAATAAGTCATTGAGTTTCTTATTAGTGTGTATTTTCTAAAATAATAGAATGTCTTTTAATATTTACATCAATTTGAATGTTGTTATTTTCTATTTTGTCATCATCATTCTTCATTACTTTTTCTTCTTCTTCTTTGGCTATTGAGTTTTGAGATAAATCTTTGAAACTAACATAATTCTTATTATTCCATAATATTATAAAATTGTTTAATGTTTTTCTAGAAAGATAAGTACCAATAACATCATTACATATCCATTGATCAGGATTTGATGGTGTAATGTTTATCCTCTGTAAAATGTCATCTGAATATTCTTGAATCATTTTATTTGGATAGTCTCTTTGAATAAGTCTCATAATTTCTCCTTCAATAGTGCCAATAATTTCTTGTTTATTTCTATAACCAATAAATTCAATTTTATCAATACATTTAATTTTTATTTCTCTCATATTCCAATCAATTACTTTAATCCCAACCACATACTCTTCAATTTGAGTTTGTTCTGGAATATCATCATCAACAAAAATAACAACATCATTTTTAATTTGTTCAGTAGATTCTTGAGTATTAATTGAATATAAAAATTCACAAATATTTCTTCTTCTTTTTCCAATCCATTGATTATTTTTTCTTTTTTTCATAATAACTTGAAGTATTGGTTCTTCAATTCTTAAATCTTCATTCTTTTGAATATATTGGCTAAATTCTTTTTCAACAACTCTACAATAAATTCGATTTCGAATAAAAGAACTTTTAATACATTGAAGTTGTTGAAGAATAGATAAATCTTTTAATGTACAAACATCCCTTTTATCATTATCATTAAAAATAGTTCCTTTCCATAAAATACTAATTGGATTATTTATTAAATTTCCTTGATACTCTGTCAAACATTTTCTTTTATAACTTCTTTCAGTTTTAAAAAATAAATGAATTTGTTGTTCATTATTAATTTTTTGACTTTCATTAATTGCTTTATTAAAATCAATAATTCCATCAAGTTCTTCATAATTTTCTCATTTAAAATAATACATTTTTTTTGAATGATACA